ATGCAATGGTTCCAAAACTAGAAATCTCTAGGAAATTTGAGGTACACATAGCAGATCGAGCTCTCTGGAATACAGGCAACCCATACACCAAACCTAATGGGGAGGTTTGGTATACTGATGGATCTAAGCTTGAAAATGGTAGAACGGGGGCTGGCATTTTTGGGCCGAACTTTAAAAAAATGATACCAATGGGTAGCTACCCCACCATCTTTCAGGCGGAGATTCATGCAATAGAAATTTGTGGCAGAGAATGTCTCAGAAGGGGAACGTCATCGAAATATATCTGCATTATGTCGGACAGTCAGGCAGCCCTACTGGCCCTGAAGTCCCACAAAATAAGTTCTCAGCTAGTACATGATTGCCGCAATGTCCTAAATGCTCTTGGTGACAAGAATACAGTCTTATTAGGATGGGTACCAGGGCATGAGGGACATGATGGCAATGAGGAGGCTGACTGCCTAGCGAAACAGGGAGCTGCCGCAGTATTTTATGGTCGGGAACCCTTTTGTGCGCTCACCAAAGCACATATAAAGGGGACCATAAATAACTGGGTAGACAAAATGTTCAACAGGCATTGGATGGAATGTCCAGGGCAAAGACAAGCCAAACGATTTATCTGCCCTTCAAACGAAGTTTCAAAGAAACTAATCAATTTAGGCAGAGAGGACCTCAAAACTCTCACTGGGTACTACACGGGACACTGTTCTCTTCGTTACCACCTCAGTAAAATCAATCTTTCAGAAACAAGCGTCTGTCGCTTCTGTGAGCTGGACGAAGAAACGCCAGAACACATTCTCTGTGAATGTGATGCTCTCGCTAGGCGCAGACTAGCCCACTTTGGTGGCGCTACCCTTAATCCATTTGAAATTTGGAACAAAACGCCCTTGGAGGTGCTAGGCTACATTAAGAGCCTTCCCATATAGGCCGGGGGCCACGCACAATAGACCACTTTAGAGGTCGCGGTGCATATGGCCCATAATAATAATAATAATAATAAATATTCGTTGNATATGATTCGGTTGCCGAATGTGCCATGGTCCAAAAGGAGTAGTTGTCTAGGTGGTCCCATGTTATGCAGCGTTGGACCAGAGGTGGTCAGGTCCAATGACATCTAGTGTTTAACCTAGTCCCACTTTTGCAGGGCACTGGATTGTTGAAACCTAAAAGTACATCAAGAAAAAATATGTAATATCGAATTAAAGATAATAACTTGTACTTTCTAAATAACATACATTTCTTTGCAATTTGCAGTTTTTTTCAATAAATATTATTTCATGAAAAAATAACATTTGTTCGTTTTTTTGTGGTTTTGGTTTAAAAATACAAAAAGCTATAAATTATGTACATCAGCTGAAGAACAAATTAATTACCTTTATGGTGAACTCATTAGTTTTTTAATCGGTTATTAAGTTCATAAGATATTAATATTTAA